TCGAATACCATAAAATAATGCTAAAGAATTAAATGCAAATGAGCTCATAGGAGTATTGTTGGCTCACCTTTCAAGGCAGGAGTTAAAGCGATGTGACTCTTAGGGTGTATGCCAAGCATGTCAAAGAATGATTCCTTAAAAGTGAGTCGAATCAAACAATTAAATGAGTTTTCAATGTCCTTTACTATAATTTTTTTAGAGAGTCAAGTGCATGTAAGAACAAAAAATGTTGCACCATGTTGAGCATAAAGTTGGATGGTATTACTGATGAAATAAGTACAAATGGATGCTCCATACAAATGGAGGGGGAAATATACATAAACAAGACTAGCCTAGGAAGTCTAGCTTGCATAGAAAAAGATTGGGTAACACAAGGTCATGATTTGGTATTTTGCGGTGGGTAGGTTTTGTACAAATTTAATAGAGTGTCAAGTGTCTTTTAATCATAGACTTATTGCTTATTTATAGAAACATGACGAAGTGCACTCCTTCTGAATTTATGCTTGGCACCATTAGGAGCAAATAACTATCCATGCCATTTTGTGGCCAACAATGTGGCATGTCATTCAAGGTAGAGGGAATGATTGCACCAAAATACACTGATAGTAGGGGAAGTAGATATACTTAACTCTACGAAGTTGGCCTGCTGTTAGGTCATTTCTCTCTATGGTCTGGACTGGGCCTCAATCGTTTTTCCTCCCAAGCCCAAAGTGCCAATTTTAGTCCAAACAAGCATATTATAAAATGTTAATTAGCACCAATTAAAGTTGACATGTGTGATAGATGTTCCCGTCACTTAAGTAAATAATTAGGATTTAAATTCTAAACCTTTTGTGTATACTAGTTTAGTTAAGAGATCAACCCATTGTCCTCAATACCTCAGAGAATATATATATGTTCTTTGCTTATGCTGGATCATACTCTTTATACTTAAAAAAATGCTAATCACCATCCACTTGGGGTAGCATAACCCACATTATACTTAAAGAAATACTATTGCTGCACTTATTATAACAAGTTCGGGGGCATTAGGGATACTGAGTGCTCCTATAAAAAAATTTTAAATATTTTGACCTTTAATCTAAAAAAAATACAAATAGTCAAAATAGTTAATCGTCATTGCTTACCTACGTTGTTGCCATTTTTCGTTATAAATTTCTCAGTTCTTTGACTGTTGACTTTACCTTATAAATTCATTTATTCCCTTGCTTCCCAAGTAGGTTAGCCACGTCGTCTTCATCCGAAGAGAGATCAGAGAAAGAGGGAACACAGAAATTAGGTCTCAGCACAGCAAAAATGGTGCAAGTGAAGAATAACCAAGTGATTCTAAAGAAGTATGTATCTGGATTTCCCAGAGAATCCGATTTGCAAGTGGTTGAAAATTTCATCGAATTGAAGAAGGTTCCAGAAGGTTCGAATCAGATTCTGATCAAGAATCTCTACTTATCCTGTGATCCCTATCAGCGAGTCATGATGAGCAATTCATTTGTTTCCAGATTTGGTTCTTATACTCCTGGTGCTGTAAGTCTTGCTCTCTGCACTTGACCTCTTTGATCTATATGACCCATATTTATTACAGCATGTTTGGTTCAATTGCTGTGCAGTGCTAATCAATATTGCATATAATTGGGAGTGGTTAGCTTTCTAGGTGGACTTATGATAATTATTATTACATATTATTACCAAAATAATGGTAATACTCTTTCATAGCTCTCGATGAATTTTTATTGCACTTCATTACTATCCCTCTATTACAAAATGATATTAACATTGCATTGCATCTCTTCCAACAGAGTGAGGAATTAAACCAAACGAGCTGTAATTCTTTTCTTAGCCTAGTATATACTATTACTATTACTTTTCCATATAGATGGAGACTACAAGGGTGAGGAATATATGAATTAGGCCTGCCTGTTTCATGGCTTTATAAATTGTAATGAAAAAAGGAATGATTGAAATGCATTTATTTTAGCTTGAACTAATGTTTCTTTTTTGAAAAAAGTACAGAATTCTAGCAAACAAAAAAATCAAAGTAAATAAAGGCATGTTTGGTTTCTTTTTCTTTCTTTCTTTCTTTTTGATTAATTAGTTTCTATTTTTAAAAACAAGAACATTATAAAAATTTATTTGGATAACTGTTTTAATTTAATTATTCTAAAAAAATTTTCATTTTTTAAAAATAAAAAAAGAATCATTTTAAAGTTGTTTTTATTTTATTTTTCTTGTTTTTAAAATATATTATTTAATTATTGAAAATTACAGTTACCTCACCCAATAACTATCACAAGCAACCACTGTGAACTACCGACAACTATCATTATTGATCAATTTTTTAATTCTAAATTAACATATCAAATAGATTTTTTTTTACTTTTTTGGAAAATAAATTTAAAAATTATATTGCAAAATAGTTTTTTAAAAAATGAAAACAAAAACCAAACTGACTCTAAAATCAAATTTTTGAAGGGCTTCATGATTTTAGTGACACAAAAGCTTTTGATACCAATGTAATAAATCTTTATGAATATACCAACAAATAATAGGTTTAACAGAAAATGTTAATCTCTCATAATATAATGAATGAAGGTTTGAATTTTCACCAAAAGAAGTGTCTATGTTTAGTGTTTGATCATGCATTGAATAAGAAAGCACCCGTGCTCAATAAAAAATATTGTTATGAATATTAGAGATTTAACAAAAATGTATAATTGTGAAACTAATTACTGATATAGTTGTGTTGAATAATTGCAGCCAATACATGGATATGGTGTGGCTAAAGTTGTTGAATCTGGGCATCCTGACTATGAAAAGGATGATCTAGTTTGGGGATATGCTATCTGGGAAGAGTACAGCCTTGTTCCATCAAGCCATATACTTTTCAAAATAGGGCACACCAATGTTCCACTTTCTTACTATACTGGAATTCTTGGTAAATATTCCAGTATTTCAATTTATTTTTTTATGATTATTATTTCGACTTATTTTGAGATAATTTATGATGTTCTTGATTTATATATGTGTGGGCCCCAGTAATCTTAAGGAAAGTTTTCATGTGATAAATGGTTTCTATCTCCTATGTTTGCTTTAGAAGATATCATGTACTAAAACTTCAACCTGATAGCCTGTGCAATAATCTTTATTATGTTTTATTTTTTTAAAATGGTTTTCCAGAAGAACCTCCCACATTTTTTTTTAGAAATTTGGATTAAAATAGTTTTGATATATCCATTATAGCCTTGAGTTAGTCCCTATATTTTTTATATATTATATTTTGAATATACATGATTGAGGGTTTAATTTTTTTTTTTAAAGAAATGATTTTAGTTAAATTTAACACTTGGGTTGTTAAGAGAACAGTAAGCTAAATTATAAAGGTTTTGTTGGAAAAAAAAAAGTATTTTTAGCCCTTTTTTATAAATTATTTCAATAGCTTATCATGATAAGCTTTTCTTTTGTTTTTTGTTTTTTGGTCAAAATATATCTCTCTTCATGCAATTAGCTTAAGTTCATCCAATAACTCATATTTTCAATTTCAACAGCTTCCCCAAGAGCACCATAATCATTTTTTTTTTAGTCTTAAACAAACTAGTCCTCTTGATTCTTAAAAATCACAGTGAAATTTTATTTAGGGAAAATATCATTCAAAAACTGTTGAGGTAATTTAACAACAAACAGATAAAAAGATTTGAAATATCACTGCAAAATCAAGGAACTGATTTGAAAATAATTTTAGATGCAAAAAGGACTATAATACCCCTTCTCTTCTTTAAATTATAAATTATAGTGGATTTGCATTTACTTTACTTATGCTTATTATCTTAATTAGTCTAATCCCACTAGTTAATTATTTTGCTTCCTCAATAACTATATTCTTTTCACACCCATTGCAGGTGTGCTAGGAATAACTGCATATGCTGGTTTCTATGAAATAGGATGTCCCAATAAAGAAGATTGTGTTTTTGTCTCAGCCGCATCTGGAGGAATTGGTCAACTTGTTGGCCAATTTGCAAAACTCTTAGGTTGTTATGTTGTGGGAAGTGCAGGAAGTAAAGAGAAGGTATGGTTTTAGTAATAGGTACAATTATACTTCTCAGGAGCTTGTTGAAATCAGCATACACGTTCCCTAATTTGGGTCTTATGCACTTATAAAAGCGACTTTATATAGTAACGTCTAGTGCTTGGTTCAACCGGCAACAATTGTACCAACTTAATTAAAGATTTTGAGTTCAAGTCTTGAAGACAAAGTTGTTATATACTTGATAGAAGAGCTTTGATGTCCTTTATGATCTTGTCCGACCTCATCCATGAGTCTAGACCCTGTTAAGTCCTATAAGTGGGTAGCTAGGATACCACATGACCCTGCTAATACGATGCACATTTAGAATCACTTTCTAATGAAGAGTGAAAGCAAGTTCCACATAGAATCACTCAATCACATTCTTTTATATCAATATCTCTCATAGTCTCAACTAAAAAAGATCCCACTTAACTTGACCCCTTCCATTTTGGTAAAAAAAAAAAAAAAAACCTTGACCCCTTCCATGTATCGTACATGCTTATTTCTCTGAATGTTTAGAAACAACTTTCACAATTGGATAGCCGTAGCTTTCAATTTGAAATCCCTTCACAGTGAGGGCATATTGGATAGCCCTAATGCACGATCACTGAAAGCAGATGCTTCCTTAAAAAAAAAAAAAAATACTTAACGAATAAGACGATCAAATTGTTGTAAAAGAGTTTGACTAAAATGACCAAAATCCATCTGTCGTTTGTGTGTTCTTGTCTGATTAACTTTCTTCACTTTAAAATTAGGTGGATCTATTGAAGAATAAACTGGGATTTGATGAGGCTTTTAACTACAAGGAAGAGCCTCACTTGGATGCTGCACTAAAAAGGTACATACTATCAAACAGTACTATCTTAGACTTAAGGATTTTAATCAATTTGCCACACTTGCAATTTGGTTAGAAGAAATGGGAAGAAAATAAGAAGGCAAAAAATTAGAAGGAAAAAAAACCTTTCAATAATAATAACAATTTACTATTTATTCGAATTTTCCCTCTTAATATTCTTCTCTTTCTGATTTTCTTTCTATCCAAGTGAAAAATAAAAGCTAATAGATATCGATTTACAAATCAGGTACTTCCCAAAAGGCATTGACATTTACTTCGATAACGTTGGAGGCAAAACACTTGACACGGTGCTTGTGAATAATGAGAATCCATGGCCGAATATGCCAATGTGGAATGATCTCACAGTATAATCTTGATCAACCTGAAGGCATAACAAATCTAGCACAACTCATTTATAAGAGAGTTCGCATGCATGGATTTAGTGCAAGTGATTATTATCAGCTTTATCCTAAATATTTAGGGTTCATATTGCCTCTTATCAAAGAAGGGAAGATAGTGTATGTGGAAGATAAAGTTGAAGGCCTTGAGAATGGCCCTGCAGCTTTGGTTGGTCTCTATGGTGGTCACAATGTTGGCAAACAAGTTGTGGTCATTGCTCGTGAGTGATATTAGGGATCATGATCCTCTACATGATATATACATCTCATTATTTTGTACCATTGTATGTCGGGAGGATCACAAGGTCCTTTGTAAGGGATTTGTTTATACTTGGGTCCTTTTCTTAAAAAATAGTTGTTAATATAGTATATCATAATTGTCATTAATCTTAAAAGGGTTTTCATTCAAAGGAATCAAATTATAAGCAAGTCAAGGTATCTAGCTGTCATTCTCTCTTGTTAATGTTATACTAATATGTGTGATATCCACTATAGGAACAACTAATGTTTTCAGGTGAATAAAGTTTTCATTTGTTGTTTCATAAATAAAAAGTCTCGTGCCTTGCATATAGTTTTGTTACATTCAAACCCTTTACACTCAGGCCCCCAAAAGTTTTTTTTTTTAATTAAAAAAAATCAGTATGCAATTTAACTATTGGAAAGTTAAAGCTTATTTGATTCCATTTTCTAGTGTGTGTTTTGCCATGTATTCTTTTTAACGTTTGTAAAACAGTTCTGTAAAATTACTTTCCAGATGAACAGGTCAGAATAATCTGTAATCAAATTAATATGAATAAATCATTGTTTGTAGAATCATACCTAAAAGCAAAATTCAAGAGCTCAAGGAACACATGGATAGTAAGGTTGATGAAATCTCAAGAGCTCTCAAGTGCGCGCGTGAGCAACATGCTGTGGGAAAAACTTTGTCAAGACCTAGAGGAGATCATGGTTCTTTTGTGGCACTAGAAAATAGTCTCCTCATCAAAAAGCCTTCAGCTATGTCAGTTACACAAAAAAACGATGCTAACAACATTAGTGGTCCTGAAATTGGGAGCTTAGTTATGGAAGAAGTCAAGGCAATAACCAAGGCTAGCACAAATGTTATGAAGAAATAAGAGAATGATGCTGATTTAGAAGAAATCTCCATGAAATATGAAGGCATAAGTCTTGAATTGAATCAAGGTTCGAAATTGGTGGTCAAAGATGTTGAATCACAAGCATTAGAGATTTATCAAGTTAGGATCTTGACAAGAGGAGTGTTCAACTTTGTCCAATTCCTACTTCAAATCATCCATGTACTACACCATTTGCTGGAAAGGTTGTTACGGTTATCAAAGAACATATTCTTTTCCCATTTGACAACAACCTCTACAACCACCCTGCTCATTGGGAAGGTTTTCAAATCACTAAAATCACATTGCTTAATATTCCCATAATCTCATTTTCTACTACCTTGTGTGTTGGAAAGGATTTTCAGATTAGTTGCCACTAGGAGGAATTCCCTGCATTGTACTCATAGTAGAGTTACATCAACTTTTTTTTTTTAACTCTCCAGAGGAGAGTTCCATCAAGCAAGGGAGAATCATGAAATATGAGAATAACGTATTTGAAGAAACCTACCTAGCATATTATTATTATTGTATTTTCTTTAACTTGTAAGAAACCCACCTAGTTTGCAGCTTCTTTTGGTGTTATTTTAATAATTTGTTAGAAGGGAAATCTCAACATTAATTTTATATTGACAAGTGATTAAAATTTTCTTAACAGGTAGGAAAGTTAGTTTAAATAGACTAGCTTGAATTTGTAAGAGAACACTTTTGATGAATGTAATATTTGATTGAGATTTCTGATAGCTCATCTCCCTCTGCGTCTGCCCCTCCCTCCCTTGTTTCCCTACTGTGCTGTTCTTCATTCTTATTTCTCCCTCTCTGTTCTCGCCTCCTCTCTCTCATTCTCTATTCCTGATTTTCTCTCCACTCTCTCCCTCTATTCAACCCCGTGCAAGTGTGTGAGTGTGTTACATCACCAACCCCCCCCCCCCCAAAAAAAAAAAGGTTTCTCTCCACCGTGTTTTCCCTTCAACGTGCTCCATTTTTCTCAAAAATGGATCTATCCTATCAAATATAACCTAAGTGGCTAAGTCTTGCTCACTCTATTACAATCCGAATTCAAAATTCAACCATATAATTTTTTAAGTATTGACTTTTAATTGGTTACTAGATCATTCATACCCTTATTTTTTATTAGCACAGTGTTCAACCAAGAAAACAAGCTAGATTTAATAACAACAACAACAACAACAAGCCTTTATCCCACTAGGTGGGGTCGGCTACATGGATTGCAAGACGCCATTGTGCTCTATCATTTATTAAGCTTTTAGAAATATTATTAATTAAGAGATCACGTTCAACAACTTCCAAGAGTGTTCTCTTAGGCCTTCCTCTACCTCTCTTAATCGGACTCAAAGTTATATGTTCCACTCTTCTCACTGGTGCCTCCCTTGGTCTTCTTTGTACATGCCCAAACCATCTCAACCGATTTTCTACCATTTTTTCCTCAATAGGTGCCACCCTCACTTTTTCACGTATGTGCTCATTTCGAATTTTATCTTTACGTGTATGTCCGCACATCCATCGTAACATTCTCATCTCTGCTACTCCAACTTTATGCTCTTGCTGTCCCGTTAGAGCCCAACATTCACTACTATATAACATTGCCGGTCTGATAGCAGTACGATAAAACTTTCCTTTAAGTTTATTAGGCACCTTACGGTCACAAATAACTCCTTTAGCTTTTCTCCAATTAAACCACCCAGCTTGAATTCTATGTGAAATATCTCCACTGATTTCGCCATCATTTTGAATAATGGCTCCCAAATATCTAAACTTTTCCACTTGAGGTATAATTTGATCTCCCAATTTCACTTCCAAATTATTTTCGAATAGTCCTTTACCAAATTTACAATATAAATATTCCGTCTTACTTCTACTCAGACGAAAACCTTTCGACTCCAATGTCCTCCTCCATAACTCAAGTTTGCAATTAACCTCTTCTCTTGTCTCTGCTATAAGAACTATATCATCCGCGAAGAGCATACATTTCGGGATTTCCTCTTGAATATGTTCCGTCAAAACATTTAAAATCAAGTTGAACAAATAAGGACTCAGAGATGATCCCTGATGTAGTCCAATCTTTATAGGAAAATCCTTTGTTTGACCACTAGGCGTTCTTATACTAGTTTTTACCCCCTCATACATATCTTGTATGGCTTTAATATAAGCAATCCGTACTCCCTTTTTTTCCAACGCTTTCCAAAGCACTTCTCTTGGTATACGGTCATAAGCTTTTTCCAAATCAATAAAAACCATGTGTAGATCTTTATCTTTACAACGATACTTTTCCATTAATCCCCTTAGTAGATAAATTGCCTCTGTAGTTGATCTACCTGGCATAAAACCAAATTGATTCTCAGAAATACTTGTCTCCAATCTCAACCTGTGCTCAATTACTTTCTCCCACAATTTCATTGTGTGGCTCATGAGTTTAATCCCTCTATAGTTAGTACAATTCTGAATATCTCCTTTATTTTTATAAATAGGAATTAATGTACTTCTCCTCCACTCATCAGGCATTTTCTTGGACCGTAAAATCACATTAAATAACTTAGTTAACCATCTCACCCCTTCTTCACCTAAACATTTCCACGCTTCGATAGATATACAATCAGGTCCGTTAGCTCTACCATTTGCCATTTTCTTAAGAGCTTCCTTTACCTCCTTATCACGTATTTTTCGATAGAATGACAAATTTTGTTCTCCTTCACCAGTTACTAAATCCTCCAAGTTACTAGATGAATCTCTCCATCATTGAAAAGTTTAGAAAAATAAGTCTCCCATCTATTTTTAATTTCATCATCTGTAACTAAAATTCTTCCCTCTTCATCCTTAATACACCTTACCTGTTCTAGATCTCTTGATTTTCTTTCCCTACTCTTGGCAATTTTATAAATATTTTGCTCTCCTTCCTTCGTCTCAAGGTTCTTATAAAATTCTTCAAAAGCTTTGGAACGAGCTTCACCCACAGCTCTCTTAGTTTCCTTCTTAGCCATACGGTACCTCTCCCAATTTTCCTCATTGTTACACAAATGTATGGCTTTAAAACAGTTCTTCTTATACTTGATTTTGTCCTGTACACTATTATTCCACCACCAAGACTCCTTATCTCTCGGACCAGAACCTTTCGATTCTCCCAAAACTACTTTTGCAACCTCCCGTATCTTTTTAACCATATCCTCCCATATGATGTTAGCACTTCCCTGAGAATCCCAAATTCCTTTATCCAAAAGATTTCGCTTGAAAATATCTTGCTTCTCACCTTTTAATTGCCACCACCTAATCTTTGGTGTTACTACTTGTCGACGTTTTTGGATTTTACTCATAATACACACATCAAGGACTAGAACCCTATGTTGTGTCGTTACAGCATCTCCAGGGATCACCTTACAATTTTTACAAAGTTTTCTATCTGTGTTCCTAACCAAAAGAAAATCAATCTGCGACCTTGAGGCTCCACTTTTGTAAGTGATGAGATGCTCATCTCTCTTCTTGAAACAAGTGTTGGCAATCTTAAAATCATACGTCAATGAGAAATCAAGAAGAGTTTGCCCTTCATTGTTTAGCTCTCCAAAACCAAAACCACCATGCACCCTCGCATACTGACCAGCTTCCCTCCCGACATGTCCATTAAAGTCTCCTCCAATAAAAATCTTTTCACTCTGTGGTATGTGTCGAATCAACCCCTCCAGATCCTCCCAAAATAATTCCTTAAGACTGGCTTCTGTCCCAACTTGCGGCGCATAAGCGCTAACAATATTAACAGTCTCACGTCCAATTATCATTTTTAAAGAAATAATTCTGTCTCCAATTCTGCTAACTTCTACAACGTTCTTCTTCCACTCCTTATCTACAATGATGCCTACTCCATTGCGTGCACTTACTTTTCCTGTATACCAAAGTTTGAAACCTTGAATATCCTTAGCTCCTTCTCCACGCCATTTTGTTTCTTGCAAGCAAAGGATATTGATTTTCCTTTGAATCATAACCCCTACAACCTCTACAGATTTACAATTTAATGTCCCAACATTCCAAGTACCAAATCTAATTTTGCTCTTATGGACTAACTTCTTTAGCCGCGTGCGTCCAGAATGACACGGTAGCCCTTGCTCATTTAACACTACATCCGGGCGCCGATGCAGCGGCTCTAACTCACTTATCACTGTACTCGAGCCATGCAGCGCGTTACTTACGGGCAACGACCTAGCATTAACATTATAACGTCTATTGTCCATGTTCATGATAGATTCAACAAATTTTTACATTGGCTGTTGATGGCCTAACACAACCCTCCTCCTTTACCCGGGCTTGGGACCGGCTATAAACATAGGCGGAGTTAAAACAAGCTAGATTTAATAAGGCTATGTTAAGAAATTTGGAAGGAATATTAACACATTAATTACATTTCTGAATCCACACGCAGAAACCTTAACCTTGGTTTGCATTGAAACTTTGAAAGAAAACTAACGAGAGAATATTAGCAGGAAAAAATCCAGAAGTAGCAATTTTTATTTTTTATTTTTTACTATATTTGAAATTTTCCCCCCTAAAATTCTCACCTTCCAATTTTCCACCCACTTTCTCCTCCATCCAAACCATGTCTAAATGATGTGTAAGAAAGACAAAAGAGGGAATAATTGAAATGACCAATAGTACATGATGACAGAACAGCAAACGGCAAGCAACTCTCATTGAGCAATTGAAAATGCTAGTCATATTACCCGCACTACCATGGTTGAGTACCCATACAACTTTTCAAGTATGGTGACACAAGCATCATAAAGGCCCTGTTGACATTCCATGCTTTGTCGCAGCAGCCAAGGTGATGAAGTTGTGAATTTGTGGAACTAAAATCTTTGAATGCATCTATGACTACATCATAAATTTCATTCCTCCACTGCAGTGAGTCAAACTAAACACACAAATGATCCCATTGATTTGGAATTATCCTGTCTTCAAGCCTCAGGAATGTCCTTGAGATCTGCATAAAGGTTTTATTTCACACCACCTTCAGAGTTTCCAGAGACTTTGGGCCTGTTTGATTATTTGTTTTTAGAACAGTTTTTTTATTCTGAAAAACAAAAAATATGGAAAAAAAAAAAAACCTGCTTGAAAATATGTTTTTTGTTGTCTGTTCTAAAAAACAAAAAAGAAGAAAGTTGTTCTGAAAAACAAAAGCCTGAACATCTTTTAGATGTTTTGTTACCTTTTGTTCTGCAAAACTAGATAAAAGACATAAAATACAGAAAAGGCATAAAATACCATGCTTTCATTAATGACAATTATGTAATAAAATAAACTGCTCTTTCACTATTTATTTTATCAATTTAAATATGTTTTTCAAAATAATAATTCAAACAGACTTTTTTCATTTTTTGTTTCCAAACTTGTTCTGAAAAACTATTGTACAGAATTGTTTTAAGAACATAAAAACAGAAAACAAAACCAAACAAACCCTTTATTTCCATTGGAAATATCCAACAGAATTCTGGATGACTCCTTAACTTCACCTGTTTGTTGGAATTGCCGCACAAGGGAAATTTTGGAATGAACGACAGCTACCACCATTGTTCTAGAGCAAGAATCACAACACATTTACCTGCCACGTTGCCAACATCCACCGTGCCATTTGTGTTTTTGTCATGAAGGCCGCATTATGCTTAAATCAGAGTTTTGGAGTTTCTTCCACCAGGGCTTTTTAGGAATTACAATCCTTCATATATGCTCAATCAGGCCAAAGACTGCCACAAGACGAATTTCATAATTTTCAACAGTCTTGCCCAAGTCTCAAGTCTGCCAACACATCCCACTGAGTTGACCAGGAACAGTATCACCATGGCTTAGTAAAAGAGGCTTTGAGCACGCTGCCAACGGTCATGCTTGAACAAGAGAAAGCCCTGGCCTAGGTTCTGTAATGATCACTCATTTCTTCCATAAACCACACCTCACATCTTCATTAAGCAAGCGATAGAGCTCAGTTAGATACCCAGCGCACTTGGTGTTATTCATGAACAACATGATATGATTTTCAACCAATGCTAGTTCAATGTGCCATGCATTGTAAGTTTTCCCAACATATTTGATGAGTTCACTTGGTATTCAGGGCCGAGCAGAGCTTGCACAACATTTGATCTGCTGGCTTGCTCCCTCTAATGATAATCTTTAGACAGATGAGTGACCATCTGACAAGTGTTACTTAACTCTTCCTTATACAATGTAACCCAGACAATTGGAAACACCAATACCCATAAATGATATGCATCATTAGCATCTGTGTGCCACGTGGCAAACTCTCTCAATGGGATCAAAAAATCAGCCACCTGGAAAAAGAAGAAAATGAGATAAGAAATTGAAAAATATTTCCTATCTAATAATTTGGTTTCATGAGTTGACTGACATTGCCACAGAAAACATTGATGAAACCGAAGCACTTCTCTAGAACCAATCATATTGAAGTAGATAACCAAAAATACCATACATGATAATTTTCAATATTATGCGATCTTTTTAACAAACAGTCCCCATCGTGCAAGTAACATGTTTATTCATCCTTAAGATAGACCTTTGTATATTACCATGAAAAGCAAACTCAAGATGTTCTGGATAAGCATTAATATGCTCAACAATAAGTTCAAGATCAAACATCAATCCAGCAGTTTGCTCGTGTTGTCAAGTGACATCCCTGATGATTCTGGAAGGAGTGTTCCCCAAACTATAAAATGAAATAGAATTTAGGAAGAGTAGATAGATAGAATCAATAGATAGAAGAGCTGAACCATAAAGCTTTATTCATTAGAGAACCCACCTAGCTGGTTTGTGCATGATGATGAGAAGAGGGCTTAATTACATTTTGCAATTTTTTTAAGAAAACATGATACCAAAAATAGATTTCATTCACCATGAATGACATTATATATCATAAAAGAATGTGAATCCTCATCCCAAGGAAATGAGAATGAAGACTATCAAACGTCATTTTTTTCCATTCCCTTTCCCTACTGTACTATTCCTGTGCACCAAACGAGCCCAATGGTACGTTCATGCAATTCATCGAAGATATTAAATAAGACAGATCAATCATCATGGCATAGTTGCTCCTTACACAAAGCTCCAACCAGGCTCTTTAGCTGTCCCAGATCCTTTCATCAACCCACGAATTCTAAGGACTTCATCCCACTGTCCTAAATCCGCACAAATGTTTGAGAAGGAAACATAAGCCCCAGCATCACATTGCTCCAATTCCATTACTTTTTGGGCTGCTAACTTCCCAAGCTCATAATCACCATGGACCTTACAAGCTGCGAGGAGGGTTCCCCAAATTAAAGCATCAGGCTTTACGGGCATAGTGTTAATGAAGTTTTCTGCCTCTTTTAGTCTACCTGATCGACCAAGAAGATCAACAATACAGGCATAATGACGATGACAAGGCTTAATGCCACAGTCTCTGACCATTGAATTAAGATAGAAGAAGGCTTCTTCAACCAGCCCACTATGACTACAAGCCAATAACACTGCCACAAAAGTTACTGCGTCAGGTTGAATGCCTTCTCTTCTCATGAGTTCATAAGTAGCTAAGGCTTTGGAACCTTGACCATGTTGAGCATAGCTCACAATAATTGCTGTCCAACCTATCAAATCAGGCTTCTCAATATGGTCAAATGCTTTGCAGCAATCCTCCAAACTTCCACATTTTGAGTACATGGTCACAAGTGAACTACCAACATATACATCTGATTGCAAGCCCAATTTTTCAATGTAGGCATGCAGTTGAGTCCCAGCTGATGATCTATTTGACAGTGCAATGGCCCTCAGGACAGATGAAATTATGAAGGTGTCAATGGGTAAATCAGTCAAGATCATATCACGGAACAACAGAAATGCCTCTTCAATTAAGCCATTTTGGGCATATCCTGAGACTAAGGAAGAGCACGCAACCTTATCCTTTTGAGGTAGCATATTGAACACCCTCTTTGCAAGCTCCAACCTTCCACATTTTGAGTACGTGGACACAAGTGCACCACCAATAACTGTGTCTGTTCCCATTCCCAAACGAAAAGCATAACCATGTATTTCTTTACCTGTCTGTAGAAAACTAAGAGCAGAACATGCAGTTAGAACTGCCGTTAAGGTCAAGTAATCAGGTAAAATTTCTTGAGATAGCATCTCTTTAAATAGGTGAAAAGCATGACCTGCATAGCCATGTTCAACAAAACCAGCAATCATTGAGGCCCATGAGACATTGTCTTTGTCAGGAGCTTCTTCAAAAACTCTATGAGATTCCTCTAAACAGCCACATTTAGAGTACATGGTGAAAAGTGAACAGCCTACCGTAGCATTAGTAACTAGTCCAGACTTCAAAGTGTAACTATGCATCTGTCTCACTATATATAAGCAGTTTATGATACTTAACACTATAGACATATAATACTCATCTGGTCTAACACCTTCTTGCAACATAAACACAAAAAATTCAACCGCCTTTCTAGAATTTTGATTGTAAGCATAAGAAGACATCATTGCTGCCCATATGCGCACATCTTTCACATATTTTATCTCACTGAAGGCTAAATCAGAAAGTCCGACTTCTCCTATTTTTGCATACATATTGATCAAGGTAGCTTGGACAGTTGCCTCTGAAATTAAAGGTAATTTTAATATTAAGGAATGAATTTGGCTTGCCTCTTCAATCATCCCTGGCTTGGAACAAGCAGCAAGTACACTAGTAACAGTATAGGTATTTATCTCCTCCCCTGATTCTCTCATATGCTTAAAAAACTTAAGTGCAGAAATAGAATCATTCTCTTGCACAAATCCAGAAATTATAGCAGTCCAGGAGACCACATTATGGACTGGCATCTGCAAGAATTTCCTACCAGCTTCATCCATACGTCCACATTTGGCATATAAATCAACAATAGCAGTATCCACAAAAATATCTGCAGCAACACATTTTATTACTCGTCCATGAATTATTTCCCCAATCTGCAGTTCTTTGAGTGAACAGCATGCTGTTAAAACACTTGGAAATGTATAGCCATTTGGCTTTAGAGATTGATGACACATTTGACAAAAAAGATTTAAGGCGGCCCAGTACTCTCCATTTCTAACTGCCCCAGAAATCATAGCATTCCAACAAACCATGTTATCACATGAAACATCAAAAAAGACCCTTTGAGCCTCTTCAAAGCTGCAATTCTTGGAAAACATATCTATCATCCCAGTGCGGACATAACCATTAAAAACAAACCCTTTTTTCATTGCAAGTGAATAAACTTGCTTACCTAATGCTGAAGCTTGCAAGGCAGCACAGGCTGAGAGAACACTCCCATAAGTAAACTCATTTAGCTCCTCACCAAATGAATGCATCCGACAAAACATCTCCCATGATTTCTCGTACATGGAATTGCCATTGTAACCAGATATCATGATATTCCAAGACTGAATATTTGGAAGAGTAATTGAATCAAACAGCTTGCAGGCAACAACCATCGCAGAAGATTTACAGTACAAGTTGAGCAAAGAGTTTGTGAAAAATACATTGGATTGCAATGCATCAATTTTGACCAGGTAGGCGTGTAAGATTTTTGTGCTTCTAATGCTGGGCTGTCTTGACATTCTGTGATCACTGAAGAGCTTAAAAGGGTCCAAAGGTTTGGAGTTCTCTTCATGTTCATGAGAAATAGGGTATGACATTCCGATCAAAGCAAGCGAGGATGTGAATCTGCAAGCAAGGTGTGAAATCCTAGCTGGGAAGCATTGATCTATAAGAGAAATCATAAGCGTTGTACAATGAGGACTGGGCACAGCAAGTTCCAGTTGCACTAACTTGTAGCGATGTGTGATGTGAAGTTAAAATGAAAAATGACAATTCAAGACATGAGAATTTCTCCTAGATCCTTTCTTGCTAGTCACCTCCCTCTCAATTTGTTTAAAGTTCAACTGCACTCCCAATCCTAACGTAAATTTTATTCTTCCTGCATCAAAGGAGGAAGAAGATTTCATCAACAGAAATACCATCAATTTAGACAGTCCAATGCTAGATACAGCTATGGAAGTTCAACCAAATGTCTCTAATACGAAACGAATAATTACAAGAATCTGATAAATGAGATCAAAGCCATCAAGGCGCCCATATCATACAAAAACTTCTTTGGCAGTTTGGCTATAATGGGTATCATGGCTTTAATGAGATGAAAGACACAAGCTATGTTCATGATGGAAGAGATTGAAGCATAATGGACTCTATCAAAGCAAAATTTTGGTCAGCTTTGATCAAAGTCCATAGGGTTTATTTTTTTAGGATGAGTCCTCATAATTTTAAACCGTGAATCTTCAAGTAACCGTGTTAAACAACTGCTGACGTGGCTTAATGATGTTAATAATGATTATGTGGTGTGAATTATATGGCAGATAATTACATGGGCTGGCAGAAGACGCAAGGCAGGAAAACACAGCTTAGAAAATGCTCCAAAACACGACCATACACGAGGGCTTTGAAAACGCGTCTGAGAGGGTTTTGTAAAGCTTTCTTCTACGAATTTTCTCGACCATTCTGGAACTTCCTCTGCCATTTTTTTCTCTACCATTGATCACTGATATAATTTAGAATCAGTTCGGAAACTGAACACTTTTTCTCTACCATTAACTTGCTTTGCTATATACAACCATGCTATTAATTTATAATCAGTTTCGATTTCGAATATGCAACAGGCTTTCTCCAGCAGCAACTTGAATATATATGCCTTCAATTGGAAATAGGCTTCGATTATGCTTTCTCATAGTTTTCTTATTGGTATTCTATGTCTCTTTCACATTCTTGATCAACCTTTCCACATTTTAATAATGTGGATGTGTGTAAGAGGGAAACCAAAAATGAAGCGAAGATGTGATGTTCATGCAAACCTTCGAACCCCTGCTCCTTTGCCGCCGAGCCCTTCGTCCCTCTTCTCATCGCCAATTCAGATCCCAAGTTCTTCTTCTCCTTTGCCCGATCTTTACTTCTTCAATGTTTGAAGCCGACGACGCGGCGACGCCAAGCCCCTAGAGCTTCATCCGAAGTTCTGCGCCTCTCGTGCTGCTTGGCTTCGCCAACTTTTTTTTTTTTTTTTCAAATTAAAAAGGCAAGTAACCTAAAATTCAATAAAAGATAATAAGAAGCATGCTAACTAATATGTTGTTACTTATCTTCTAAGTATTGCTTCAAACATCTTGAAAAAACCATAGGTATCAATATAATCTTTAAATTAGTAGCCCTTTTTTATTTTGCTAGAAAATTAGGGCATTCAATATTATTCTTGTTGACATAGGGAATTTTCACCTCCCCATCAACTTTTTTTTTTTAATGAGACAAATTTACTATATAAATGAGTTGTAACTTTTGCTAGCTTTAATTGATAATTTGACTATTTCACACAAAAAATGAAAGGGAGGATTGCATCGAGGGTCCTTGAAAAAGAATTTATAATGTGAAGAACCAGTACATTTTGAATTAACATTTAAAGATCAAAATCCTTAAATATAATTAAACTATAGAAATCAATTACCTAAATATCCTTGTTTCCTTTTTTTTAAAAAAAAAAAAACCCCCACTACCTGTCAATGCTACTTGACCATTGTTGCTTACTAGCCACTGTCGTAGCTCACCAAAGCTTTGGCACTGGCAACATGGTCAATGACAATCAATTTTAAAAATTGGGAGCCAAGGGGTTTAAATCCCAAACCCTTTGGTTCCCTAAAATATTGAAGATCATTGAGACAAATAATTCTTGAAGATATTTAGTGCAAAATAATATATATTATAATGTAATTTTTGTTTCCAAGCATTTTCACGATTGTTGTTTATTTTGATTTCTCAAAGTATTTTTATTGATATCTAAACAATCACTTGTTAATATTTAAACTTGACTTGTCAATATTAAAAAAAAGGTGTCAATTTTAAAAAACCAACTTATTCCCTAGATATTAATAAATTATCAATATTATACTAAATAAAATAATATATATGTTACAAATTTAATTTCCAAACATTTCCATGGCAATTTTTGAACAATCACGTTTTAATATTTGGACTTAACTTGTTGATATTAAAAAAAGTTATTAATTTTCAAAGACCAACTTATTCTGTGAATACTGATAAGTTATTAATATTATGCTAAATAAAATATTATATATGTTAATAATTTAGTTTCAAGCATTGCCACGGCTATTGTTAATCCTAGATTTATTATTGTTAATATCTCACCGATCATTTGTTACCATTTGGACTTGACTTGTCAATATTAAAAAAGTTATTAATTTCTAAGACCAACTTATTCTCTGGATATTGATAAGTTATTAATATTATGCTAAATAAAATAATATACATTGTTATAAACTTGGTTTCCAAGTAAACATATGAACTATCACTTATTATTATTTAGATTTGACTTGTCAATATTCAAACACTTATCAAAATAAACATCCAAAATTTTAACAATTTCAAATATTAACAATTAATAACAGTTCGTCTAGCATTAACAGCATCCATGAAAATGTTTGAAAACTAAATTAATAACACAAATACACATGTTTAGTATCATATTGATATTGATAACTTGTCAATAATAAAGAAATAAGTTAATCTTCAAACATTGACAACCTATTTTTTGAATATTGACAAGTCAAATTCAACTATTAACAACAATACATCCAAAATTAACAATGACCGTGGAAATTCTTAAAAACTAAATTTATAACATATATATTATTTTATTTAGCATTATATTGATAACTTATCAATATTCAAGAAATAAGTTGGAATTTAAAAATCGACAACTTTTTTTTTAATATTGACAAGTCAAATTTAAATATTAACAAGTGACTATTCTAATATTAGCAACAACATGTGTAGAATAAACAATGGCAATAGAAATGTTTGAAAACAATATAATGTAAATATTATTTTACACTATATATTTTAAAAAATTGCTTGGCTCAATGGTCTTCAATATTTTGGAGAATCAAAGGTCTTATGTTCAAACCTCCTTGGCCTCCAATTTATAAAGTTGACTACCATTGACCATGTTGCCAGTGTTAGAACTTCAATGGTCAAGTTGGTGATAAAGCTCGGTGATGACTAGTGTTTTTTTTTTTAAAAAAAAGGAACATGGACATCTAGGTAATTGACTTCTATAATTAATTACATTTAAGGGTTTTAGGCCTTTTGGGTTATAAATTCTTTGCCAAGGGCCCTCAATGCAATTCTCCAAAAACAAAAAAATGCTCATTCAAAATGATGGAACCAACTTGGCAAGGAAGAAATATCATTGGCCACATCATCTGATTGTGATGAATATGATCTTTGATAATAAGCTTCTTGTGAATACAATTAAGCCTTAAAGACGTTGATGAGAGATTATGGTTTCATGATAATCAAATATCCACTATAAAGCTAGTTAAATTAAATAAGAAAAAAAGATATATCATGAGTCTAATTTCTAATCAAAAGACAATTAAGTACATGAGAATCTTGAAACGAAGCAACAGCCACAATAAATGGGAGAAGAAACAATCATCCATTCACATCAGTTGTGACAGTTGCAACACCACCAATAACTCAAATAAAAACACGTTTGTAACTTGCCAATTGCCATTTATTTTCTAGCTACCATTTAAGCATCCAAATAGTATTAATAGGAGTCGTCATGTCCTTGTAAGATCTTAGATTGAAAGCAATAAGCAAGAGTTTGTTTCCCATTTAGTTTCTAAGCCATTTTAATATCAGAACTGGTCTATAGAGCGAGAGAGTAAGGAACAATTAAGGGATTATGTTGGAGAAGAGAGAGAGAGATTCAAAGGAGGAGTCCCTAACATTTTTGCATTTTACAATCCATGCTTTTTTCTAGAAACTGACACCATCGTTGCACTTAAGAGGTCTGAAAACGTGGAACAAGAGGTTCCCCATCACCGCACAATGTCCCACGTGCCTCACTACTAGTACATGTGCTGCACATACTATCAGGAGGTTGAAGATGATGACATTATCTGCCACATCATCATTATGACTGGTCAACGATGGGTTAGCTCAATCAGTATCCACCATGTGTCATTTGTGCCACATCACCCCTACCCAATTGCCTATTTTTCTAAAATTACAGTTTGATCCTAAAACTTTTAATATTTCTATTTTGACCCCTAAACTTTTTGAAATTTCATTTTAACCCCCAAAGTTTTTGAAATTCCATTTTGACCATAAATCTTTTTAAAAATTATACTTTTACCCCTTAACTTTATTTAAATTCCATTTTGATCCCCTACATTTTTTCAAAATTACACTTTAACCCCTATACTTTTCATTTTTACCCTTATATTTTTTTAAAAACCCCATTTTTCCCCTAAACTTTTCAAAATTCTCATCCTGCCCTTATATCCTTTCAAAATTTTCATTTACTCCTATATCTTTCCAACATTTCCTATTTGCCCTTAAATTTACCAAGATTTCCATTTACCTTGATTTTTTCCCAGAAATTCCTTATCTTAGCCTTGACACCTATCAAAATGCCTCAAAGACACAAGAATATGTATGAAGTTGAGATGAAAGAGATGAGACATAGGATACAAGAATTGGAAGCTACTGTGAAAATGTAGCGAACTCTGTTAAACAATAACAGGGAAAACCTAAAAGGAGATTCGAGAAGTAGCAATTCGTCATCCACTGACGATTGCCACCGTCGTCAACAATAATAATTCTGTCCTAATGACATTAAGGTAGACATTCTTAAATTTGAGAGAAGACTCTAGCCAAACAAATTCGTAGACTGGCTTTAAACTGTTAAATAAGTATTTAAATATAAGGAGATTCTAAATGCGCAAAAAATCAAGATGCCACCCCTCAAACTCAAGAAACATGCTACCATTTGGTGGGAAAACCTTAGACAAAAGTGAGAACGTGAGGGAAAATGCAAGATTGAGACCTGGGAGAAAATGAAATGCTAGCTAACTAGGAAATTTCTACCAAATCATTACCACCAGGATAACTTTCTCTAGCTACAAAATCTTCAACAGAGGTCTTTATCTGTAAAAGAATAAACTAGAGAATTTGAACAACTCATGATGAAGTGTGACATTTAGGAGAAGGAGGAGCAAACAATAGCTTGGTACCTTGCAGGCTTAAACACAAATATCAATTGTCCAGTCCAGCTTTAGTAGTATTGGACCTTGGATGATGTAATCTGTCTAGCCATGTGTGTTGAGAAGCAGATGCATAAGAGATCTTCTTTCCAGCCTTCTTCCTCCAAGGGTTATCTAAAAGCTTGTAAGGCAAAATTTTAGCAAACCAACCTCTCAAGCAAGCTACAATCTAGCATTATACACAAACCATCACCAAATGTTGCGAAGGAATTTGGCTCTAAAGCAATGAAATGCTTTAAATGCCAATGATTTGGCCATATTACTGTAGATTGTCCTACCCAGAGGGTTGTCACCATTGGGGAAGGGCAAGTATATGAAGCACCTAAAGAAGATAAGGAGGAGACTGAGTTTTATAGAATTGATCTAGTATATGATGATAAGGTCATGCCTGCAGATCAAGAAGAAGCATTAGTGCTTAGACAAAGTCTGCATATAATTGTGGTTAGGCAAGAACCTTCACTACGATGCAACATTTTTCACACTCGTTGCACAACTCAAGGAAAAGTTTGTAATATCATTATTGACAGTGGAAGCTGTAAAAACATAGTGTCTGCTATATGGTGGAGAAATTAAAGTTGCCAACACAAGATTATCCACATTCTTACAAGCTTCACTAGCTCTATAAAGGGAATGAGGTAAAGATTTCTAAGCAATATCTTGTGATCTTTTCTATTGAGAACATATATTATGATGAACTGTTGTGTCATGTTGTTTCCATGGATGCATGCCACCTTTTTTAGAGGAGGCCATGGCAATATAATCGACATGCTATGTATAACTGGCGTGCAAACACCTATTCCGTCATGAAAGATGGCGTCTAGTTCACACTAGTGCCTCTACTGCCTAATGATAGGGATTTAGTCATTTATCCTCAAAATTAAAGTAAAGCTAACCCTAATGTAATTAGAGTCAACCTTAGGTCATCTCC